CCAGAGTGAAAATGATCTTCTTAAAAATGTAATACAAAGCTAATCTGTTATACAGATAGTGCAAAATGAAAATCTAAGCTAAAAAAGATCTAAAGAAAGATAACCCAATCAAAATTGTTACATAAATAATATAAAATAAAAATTTAAATTAAAATAAATATAATTCAATTAAAATTATTATAATATTTTTAAATTTAAAAAGATTTATAATAATAAAATATTATTATATATTAATAATTAATTAATATTTAATTTTGATAATATATTAAAATATATTATTTATTAAAATTATAAATTTTATTAAATATTCTTAATTTTAATATTATTTTTTTCAGTTTATTTTTATTTAAATATAATTAATTATAAATTATATAATAATTTTCTTTATAAATATTCAAGATATTTCTTATAATTAATTAATTATTAATAATAAATTTGAATTTAAAAATAGAATTTTTATTTTTTGCATTTTTAATAATAATAATAATATTCTTATTATTAAATTCAAAAAATTTTAATTTATTATATATTATAAATATTATAAATTTTTATTATATAACAAGAGATAATATAAGATATTTAATATTTAAATATAATATAAAAAGTTACAATATTTTAAATTTATATATAATTGAAAATTTAATATTTATTATATAAAAATAAATATTTATATATTTAAAATTTTTTTTTAATTATTTCTGATTAATTAGTTTAATTGATATATAAAATTTATAATAAAAAATAATATTTTAATATAATATTAATATCTCTTATTATGTTTATATTAAATTTTTATTTTAGATTTGAGTTAAAAAATATTATAAAAAAGATTATATTAATACTTTTAAATTTATATTTTTAATAATTAACTTAGAAATTTTAAGTATTAATAAATTAAATATTTACTTTATTATCTTTTCAAATTTAAATATTATATTATTTTTTATTATTACTGTAATATAATAATTATTTAATTTAAATAATATTTTATTTATTAAAGTTTTAAAATTAAATAAATTTCTGAAAGTAATTTATTAATTATAAAAATTTTATTTATATATTATTTTTAAAATTAATTTTCAGATATATAAATATTTAATAAATAGATTTAAGAATTAACTCTAATTATTTTGCTAAAAAAAAATACTTTATTATTCAATTTTATAAAAATTTTATAAATATATTTATATTCATCTTTATAATTAAAAACTTATTATCATTATAATTTTTATATTTTTATTTATTATAATCTTTTTTATTAGATTTTTCAATAATTTTTTTAAATTAGAAATTTTACTTACTAAAATAATAAAAATCATATATTTATTTTTAAATTATTATTTATAATTATAAAATTTTATGTTACTTGAATCCTTTTTTTAAAAAAAATAATTTTAATAAAATACTATTATATTAAAAGCATAAAGTAAAATTAAAAAATCTCTTTTAAATTTAATAAATAATTATAATATTTTATTTTTTGATAAATAAAGTCTATTTCTTTAATTCAAATATTCTTATAAATGCATATTTTATAATATTTGTTAAGTTATTTTTATATAACATATTAGACAAGTTACAATTATATTTTTCTTATAATAAATCAATTTCATAATACATATATTTTCAATAACTATAATGAGTTTCTTGATAATTCTTTAATTTTATTTCTTGAAATCAGCATTTTACTTATATATCAAGAGAAATATATATATATATAAAAATAAATATAATAGTCTTATATCTATTTAATTATAATTATATACTAATAATTTTTTATATTGATCACTGAATCTTGAAGATTCTTCTTTATCATCATCATGCAAATCACTTTATTGCAGAGTGCCATAATGCTCAAATCACATTATTTAATTTAATTATGGCTTTGATTTTAATATTTGTCAATGTTTCTAATTTTAGATCATGTTTTTTTACATTCTGTTGGCCGATGCTCTAACATAATTTATCAAATTTTGCATGTTTGGCATCGAAAATAATGGTCACAATTAATATCATATCAATAAAATTCCCTAAGCATAAAAATTAGTTTAAGGGTTAACTGTATAGTATATTTATTTAATACTGAAAAGTATAATGTAATGTTCTCATTTTTACATTAGTTTTTTTAAAATTTGGGTTAAAGTCGCATCGCATTGTATATCGTCATACATTGATCAAAAACTTAATCTAAACACCCATTATTGTGCTATTAAATATGATGATATCGTCAAAATGAATAGTCAACATGACGTGTTAACTCGATTAATGAAAAACAGACCAATAAATAAACGTATTATTAGTTATGGTTAAAATGAATTACAAAGCATCTTTATATTCCACACCGTGAATAAATTCATTCGTTATATATAAATAGGTTTTTCATTGTGTATCTATCATTTTTTCATAATTTCTTCACAATCAATATTCTATAAATTACAAAAACCTTAAATATTGTAAGCCTTTAGATTCATTCCACAAAGCTTTTAACATGTTTTATATTTTAAATCGTTTGCTTCTTTTGGAGATTTTTAAATTAACCCCGAAAAATAAACAACTGTACAAAAAATATCCAAACTTTCAGGTTAAAAGCATGCAAACATTTTCAAGCTTTACCACATATTTATCTCATAATTTGTCGTTTAACGACTCTTTCGAATTTTTTTTCGCAAACATCGTGCAATAGAGAATAATAGGAAATTGAAACATCTAGTGTTTACATATTGTTTGAATTCGTACCGAGAAAAGTCATTTACCGTTACAAAAAATGCGTGGGAATTTGGGGAATTCAAAAACACAATGATATATTGTATGTAATCTTGGTGCACCGTGTGATCTATGAAAAGGAGAGAAGAATGATCACAGTAAACGGTCACGTGTGGTACAGACTTGTTGGAAATGGGGGAATGTGACTATTTACCAATGAATAAGTGCGAAAGAAAGTCCTTATTTAGAAATTTAGCTTCTGTGGGGTAGATATTACTTTGGGCTTTTTTGGTTTTCGTGAACGAAAAAAAAATTTCAAGTATAAATTCGAAATAGGACATTATTATAAAATTGATTTTACTTCTATTTGATTTTTAATGTTCGGGAAATTTATATCCTGGAACAAGCCATTTTCCGCTTCTAGATTTTTTTTTTAGTTTTGCGCAGAGTAGAGTATCACCAATTCTGAATACTTTATAAATTTCGACTCAGCATAATAAGAAAAAAAAAATGATGATCGTCAACGTTTGTTTTCTTCTAAAAATTCTCCCAATGCTTACATACGTAATATCCGAACACGTTTTATGTTGTATACGTTGAATTAAATGAACAAAAAGAGCAAATGAATTAATTGAATAAGGACAATAAAATTACTTACTTATTCATTCTGTGCAACCTTAAACCCACCAGTGAATGATAACATGACTGATTACCATTCACCTTATACAAAAATTACCAAAACACGTACAAAATAGTACAAACCGCTTGATATCACCATTGCGTTTACTTTTGGTAAATAAACAACCAAATAATCAGTAATAAGGAAACGTATACGGGATCTGTGTATCTTTACCACCCACAACAAACAAGATAATAGGGTAATCGTCATTCTTTGGTTAGCATGTAGTGGTCTTCCTCTCTGGTTCCTTGTCTCTCTCTTTTCACTTCTTGATTCTCGCGTAATCTTTCATCATCGCCGAATGTATTTGTCCCTCTATAGCATACAGGTGCGTGATTGGACGATTTTTAAAACGGACTACGTGTATTTCGGGTATCTCATATAACATTATTGCTGTTTTTAGTGGAACAAGAAAAAAGTAACAGACAGCCAAACATACCCTATTTGGGTTGCATAATATTCAAATTAGGAAAGGGGAATACTAAACTAAAAGCATATAATTGTATTACAGTATTATCAGAACAATAACGTACATGTGAGTGCGTGGGATTTTTTATTATTTATATTATTTGGGTGGTCTGATTTATTCCGAGTTTCGTTAATGTATAAATAGGGCTCTGTTGGGAGGTAAGAAAGTGTTCTTGAAATTGCACCTCCTATATTTTTCTTGTAAATATTCACAACACATGCGCTCACTCTATATATAACTTTGACAGAAAAAAATAAATTTATTCAAAATCAAAACTTTTAAACCCAAAAAAAAAACCACACTTCTACACTCACTACTTATACGCTCCACTTTTCACCAAATATTTAAAAAATAAAAATGCATGCCACAGCAGTACCCCGACTCACTGGCCGAAAGACAGCCTTATGGTATATTGATTTATTATCGTGCTGTTTTTTTCACTTTTATTTTATTTTTTGCTAACAACCACAAATCAACAACAATAAACAGGTTAACAATACCAATCATCGCCGCAACAACGTACAGTCTCTCGAGAGCGCGATTCGGCAAAGTATCCGCACAAAAGAAATACAATACTTGCGACTTCACACACGATCCCGTCGAGATCCAAAATTTACGACAGGAATGGTTGAAACGGAACGACGGGTTAGGGTTGCGTGACGTATCAAGATCATGTGGTGGTGTCTAATAAAAAGGATTAAAGGGATAAATAATAAAAGGATATGGTTGGTTTACATAGTGAGGGAGAGATTTATTTATTTATTGTATAAAGTTTTCTAAAATATATATATTTTCAGTATCACATCTTTCAGTTACTTGTTTTTCACAATAAAATTGAAAGCATCATCATAACCATCATTCTCTTCGTTCGATATTTCGTTTGGCATATCACTTATGCTATTGTGCATCTTGCTTGCTATTATTGTTAATGATAATGAATGATGATACAATTATCATGGAAGAATTCCCATGATAGCATACATTCACATGTGTGTACACATAATGATTAACAAGACGCTTAACCGCCATCTCGTACTTGTGCATACACTTATTACTCTTTTTTGCTCGAAATAAAGCGTCTTTAATGGAAGGCTCACCCTGACCCGCTTTATATATAATTCCGGCCAGAATTGACACACATGTAATTTCAATCGTAAATAATTTTTTTTTAATTATCGAACTTTTTATTGATTTTTTTTTGATTAAAATAACAAGAAACAACAGTAGTGGTAATTGTATTTTTTTTTTTCCTGAGCACTCAAAGGTATAGAAGAAAGAGAACAAAAAAAACAACACAAAAAGAAACGGAAATACCTACTATGATGTAATTAATGGTACGTAATAGTACAACAACAGCAACAAGAGTAGCAGAGCAGCAACAATTTAGTGTGGTGCATGTTTGTGTGCTGTGTGTGTGATCAATTCATTTCTGTGTGTGAAATGACTGTGTGATAAAGAATAGGTTACCTCTTGGAGATAAGGAGAAAGAGAGATAGTTTGTTTATATGATATTTCTTTGTGGGTATGTATAATTTTTTTTTTGATTAATAGATTATTGATTAATAATAATACTAAGAATTGTTTTTGTAAATCACAATAAAAAAAACGTCATTGTAATAAGAACAATAAAAATAATAATAAAAGGATGAAGATAGAAAAAAAATATGAGATAAAAAAGAATAAAGAAAAGGAAATTAAGACTCATCGTACACAGAGATCATTGTGTTGGAGTTGTTGGTGTTAAGACATTCAGAGTCCTTTCTTGGTTTTGATTTACTTGCTCGCGTGTGTCAATTTTTTTCTGTGATTACAAATAATATAGCAAGACAATAGATAGACAGACAAGATGGCTAGATAGAGATAGGTGGACGGATAGATAGACAGATAACAAGATTTTCTTTCCATTATTATACAAATAGATGATAATATCACAGTAATAGTAGTACATAGACACACATACGAGAGAGATAACGAGCGAGTGATGTTGCCGCACCGTCACACAAATCTATCTAGTCTGCAAAAATTAAAATAAATGGATGAAGAAATAAATGCAATGAAATTAAGAATGTTGCTTTTTTTTTATTATCAATATATAGTTAATATTAAGAAGATAGAAATTAAATTATAAGCAAAATAAGCATACAATTGTGGATAAAAAAATCAAAGCATCAAATAAAGCATAAAAACACTTACAACAATATTAAAAGTAAAGGAGTGCTAACAATAACAATATTTTCCTATGTGTACAGTATTCAAATAGAAACTCATAGTATTAGATAAAATATTAGAAGCGGAATCTCAAAGTATTAGTCACAACAAAGATGATCATGGGTTAAATCTGAACTTACCCTTAACTTGCAAAAGCTCGATCAGCTCCGCTTTTACCTTGTCCACCAGCATGATGACTGCTATTATTACTACTATGAGGAGGATTGCTATTACTATTATTCATATTATTCTCATTCATGCCATCAGCTCCATTCATGTTTGACGATGTCTTTGTTCTTCGCCTACTTCGACGACCACCATCACCATAATAGAGTCGATATTCACAGAATATGCAAATCCAATCTCCATTTTTCTCCTGAAATCGGACTTTTCGTCTGCCTCCCATTGAAGATTGATGATTATTGGCATTATTCATTTGCTGCACCTCAAACGAGCCTGTCGATGATGTGTCATCATGTTGCTGCTGATGTGGTCCCATTCCTATCGATGTTGATGACGAAGATTTCTTTTTGCTCTTTTTACGCGGGGCATTCGGGGGCCGTTTTGGTGCAATAGGCGGTGGTGGTTGTGATGAATGTGATGATGATTTTGTAGATGACATGCCATGCGGGTGTAAGTGATGATGGTTACTATTCAGTCCCCCATCTGGTTTGAATAGTGCAGAAGAAGGTGCTGCTCTTTTCGTCGATGCTTTCTTTTTCGAGCTTGTTGTTGGTATGTTATTATTATTGTTGTTGATTGATGCTGATGTTAGACTGCTACTATTGCTACTATTGTTGAGAAACATCGAAGCGGCGAAAGGATCATTTTTTGTATTCATCGGCTGTAGCGGAGACACAGCTGCTAATCTTTTCGCGCTCGCTGCATTAACACTAGCTGCCGCTGGGGCTGTAAATGAGAAATCAAAGTTCCTTTTTTCCGGTGGTCTAACATTACTTAATTCATTTTTACTATTACCTGTACTATTGGAACCAGCAGAGTTCTTTTTACTATTAGAAGAGCCTTCCAACGACAATGCATTATTATGTGCCACTAATTTACTCAGATTACTGATACGCTGTGACGAAGAACGATTTGTAACCCTTCGCAAAGGGCTCACCCGTTCTTTCGAGGCAGAACTCTTGATCACACCACCGCCACCTCCACTAACTATCGAATTCCCGCCTACCGTTTGAAGAGCTTTTCGTTTTTTCTTGTTATTGGCATTGTCCAACCAATCTGTGTGACTGCTCTCATTATTCCCATCGTCTTCATCTGCATCGAATTCATCATCTCCACCATCCGAGTGAGGTGGTGTAGCAAATGAAAATAATGGTGATGGAGGTATTATTGGTAATCCGGAAGATGACGAAAGTAGTGTTGATGATCCTGCTATTGCTATATCAGTGTCCCGGTTCTTGCCGAATATTATGCTCTTTTTTCCTTTATTATTGGTGACGATGTTCTCATTATTAATGTTACTACTACTATTATTATTACTATTACTATTATTTCCTTCTTTGTTATTAATGCTAATAGTGCCAGCACTCGCACTTGTGCCGGCGATATTACTGGCATTAGCCGCTTTGGACTGACGTGCTTTAGCTCGTGCAGGTAATGGTCGAATCGGCCGGTAGAATGCGAAATTATTACTATTACTACTTGTACTTCCAATATTATTATTACTACTAGTTGGTCCTGCAGATCCCGTTCCTCCTCCCACGTTATGATGTGGAAACGCTTTAGGCGTTGAAGAATTAGAAGTAGACTCTGATTCGACATCTGATGACATTTCCCGTAGAGCCACAAGTCTTTTAGCTACCTCTTGATCTTCTTGCTGCTGTTTTTGTGAATGCGCCGCCGAAGCAGATATATTATAGTCACCAAATTTTATGTGCAACTTTTTCACTGGTGTTGGTTGTGGATTGAAAGACGAAGAGGATGGATTACCTGAAGTCGTAGCCGTATTGTTATTGTCATGTGTAACAACACTTTTTCCGGTAGTTGCGCTTGAAATAGTATTGATCGTCGTCATCATTGATTGCTTTGAGGAGGAGCTACTATTATTACTAATATTATTAACACCACCACCCCCATTATTGGTGATCACTGTTTTTGATCTAGACCCGGTTCCTGAGCTACTCGATGTCGATGATGATGAATTCACAGCAACTACCGCAAATTGTTGCTGCTTTGTGGTGTTGCTATTATTAGTAGACGATGATAATGATTGTGACTCAGAGTTTTTCCTTGAAGACGAATTGATCGCGTCAAAACTAAACGATCCCGCAAATTTCGGAAACACTACTCCTGGCTTAGGGAATTGAGATGTTACATCTCCGGTATGAACAGTACTTGTCGACGTAGAGATATTAATACTACTAGATGATGATGATAATATTGTTAATATTATTAATACTGCTTGAATTGAATTCGCCAAATTGAGGATAATAACATGAGGAGGATATTGATACAGACTTTGTAGTAACTGTTGTGAAATCAGGCACAAATTTATCCCCCAGAATCGGCATCTGATTAAATGGGCTTGTCCCGCCACGTAAACGCTGCTGAGCTTGAGTTGACTGTGACAAGGAAGGCTGTGGATCCGTATGATTTGAAATTATCTTCGGGATTGTTGACGTTTGAGGATTTTTGGAGGGGGGGGACGAAGATGACGAAGACTCTGGGTGGTAACGAAAAGCGAAAGGAACTTTTTGTGAGGAAGATGATGATGATGAGGAGAATGAGGACGTAGAAGAAACAACACTAGCAGAAGTAGT